AGGAAAAAGCCATTAGGGAGAAGACAGAAAGGCCAATTTGTTCAATGAAGACAGCAGAATGCAAAGTTGTGTTTTGTTTGTGTTTTTGGAGAAAGATGAATGTTGGCACTCTTATCTTGATGAGGAAAATTTCTCTCATGATTTCTTTAGTGAGTGTTTAGTTGAAGAGAAGTCTCAGTTTAGCCACCTTGCCGAGGACCGGAAGGCCTTCCTTACAAAAGAACTAAGTTTGCGGCAGATGTGCAGGTATTTGTTGTGAAGATCTTAGTTTGCAGTCACAAGTTTGCCAAGAGTCATGCCTGTGAAGATTCTCAGTCATCCAGGTCGTGGATATTCTGGTAGATTAATGGTAGCAACTGGACCTGCTTGAGTTCCTTGAAGACGTTTCAAGCTTCATCAGTTCTGACTGACTAGTATCTGGAACTCCCAACTAGTCATTCAGAACTGATGAAGCCTCTTGGATGAGAGGTGAAACGTCTTCAAGGAACTCAAGCAGTTGCTACGATTAATCTACCAGAATTTGCTAAGGGTTGGAGTCTGAGTTTTATTCTTTGGGATATGCTAATCCCTCTCTTACATCTCTGTCCCATAAAACAGTTGCGCAAAGAGTTCCTTTGGTTTAAATAATTAGAAATCTGCTATTCCTAGTAAAGGGAGATTGAGCATGAATGGTTGTCTGTATTGCCCTATGATTACTACCTGTCAAGGACGTAGTATCAGCCTGGCTCGAATCCAGCTGCCCTTTGACCCTCTGATGGATGAAGTAGATGTCCGTTTGTTAGGATGTGATTTATCTGCCTTCTGCTGACACTGTTTCTGGGTTCGAGCCTCTGATTAACTAAATCTGAGTGTTCTTAAGTTGTCATTCTACCACCATACAAACTTTTATTAGCACTGTTCAGTCATTCATTTAGACTAAACTTTCAATAACTCACATTGTACACGACTCTGTGGCCCGGACACAAATGCTTTAAAGCTTCAGAAAATATCAATTGAATGATATGATCAACGAAATCGGTTTGGAGGTTTAGCAAACAAATCAAATCATGTAACAACATCAGCATCAGTCAACTATTAACCTCGTGTTGCGGTCGGTGTTGTCTTGGATACTCTCTTAACTGCAGTGTTTAGTTCCTTCATGCCACTCACTGATGTTGTACCTCGATGACTCGCCCTTAACTTTCACTTTCTTTTTAGAACAAAGCATCAATTTCACCTGTTATATCGGCCCACCAACACACTGGTGGCTATCCAGTTGGTGGCAGATGATTCTACGTCAACTAGCCTGACCTCGCTAACCCTCCAAAACCTGCTGCTGGTACAAATTTAGCCAACTAGTGAGGAAACTTGGACAGCTGGACACCATAACCAGTTAATAGGAGACATTTGCACCAATTTACGGCTAAGTGGTTAAACAGTCAAGCAAAACTCTCTGACAAAATCAATGGCCTTCTGTCGTCTATGACTGCAAGAATTTCGATGGTAAATCTGCTGAAAGGCTCGAAACAGTTTGTGGGAAATGTAGGACATCACAGATACGGCGACTCGAGGTAAAATCTTGCAGAAAACGAACCGTACACAAGGTGGATTTTAGTGAAAAGCAGATGCTCCAAGTCACAAAGGTCTGTCAAAGATATTATGACTTAAACAGGGGATTTTTTCCCCTCTGCTTCGTCGGGTGTGTCCAGTTTTCTTGTCACATAACAGAGCTACATAGAGACGGGGGGTCAGAGTTGATGGCCGGCAGCCATCATGTTATGGGGTTTAAAGGTCGCGGTTGGTGGCTGCTGAGCAGATGGAGAAGATTTCACAAAGCCTAGAGTGTGTGTGTGTGTGTGTTTTGTCTTTTTTTTGGGAAGAAGTCAGTCATTGTACGGCGCTTATCAGTGAAGCACAAAAAAAAGGCAGAGCTGCATCTCCGCTCTCTTTGAAGCCTTCCTCGCTTTTATCACAACTTCACCGCACTTTAGTATTAATGCGTGTTAGTGGATATGTATCAAGATCTATGGCGCACTCACAACACACAGGATGTAGATCTGGCCTTTGAAAGCTCTTGTGTTTGTGTGTGTGAGAGAGAGAGTGAATCCTGCATTTAGCAGCCAGAAATAGCCTCTTAGGAAATCAATGTTCCTCTCCCAGTGGCGCTGGGAGCTGTCTCCTCTACAATGGAGGGACTGTCCTGTTTCCTGCACCCTAGAGGGAATGTGTGTGTGTTTGTGTGTCTGTGTGTGCGTATAGATAGAGGGATAGAGCGAGAAATCTTTGCCGTGCCTCAGTTCTGCATCATCAGCTAACAGGAGACATAAAAACAGGGGGCAGAAAATGAAAAATAATGAGGGCGAGAGCAGCAGAATGTGGACTCAGTGTGTTCCTACACTTGTATGTGCGCATACATGTGTGTGTGTGCGATTTCAAGTCAGCAGCGTGAACTACTCGACCTGAATCGAACTTCCTTTCTCCTTTATTAAGTCGCTCCAGGATCTATATACGTACGAGTGTGTGTTGCTGTGTGTGTGTTTGTGTGTGTGGCCCTCTAATTAGTCGTGTCATGAAAGAGGCGATCGACCTCACCTGTGACAACACTCCGGGCCTCTGATCTGCGACGGAGAGCGAGCGAATCACTGAGATCAGAGAAATGGATCGTGGAGCTCAAGGATGGCGCCCTGTTTGTTCTCTTTGAAAGCCGCCGGTCTGCTTGCTTCCTCTCGCCAAGACTGACCGACTCCCCGTTGACACACAGTAAATGGGATAAAACGTAATAATGATACAGCTCTTAGAAGCTTTCCAGTTGATGTTATGTGGTGTGTTTTCAGCTTCTTTTTTTTTTTACAGCTACTCCTTTTCCAGAGATTGTTTGCGGCAGAAATGTCTTTTTTGGGGCCTCCGGCGTCACATGATGAATTGTCGTACGAATGGTCTTTCTCAGAATCTCTTCCCGGTGGCTGTGTGAGGTCACGCTTCCATTTGTAGGGTTTTATGAGGGTGTAAACAAGCAGATTAACTTTGAGATGCATAGAGACATCTGTTACCCTGAGTAGTCATATGTGTCTTGCACGCTTAGTTGTTGACTTTAGTTGTTTTTCCCTTTGAATTCC